TGGTCAACTCTGTCTGTGTAGACAGGTAAGATGTACGCCAAACATCTTCCATTCAAATTGGTGTAGAGAAGATTTTATTCTGATATACAAGCCAATTGAAGAATCTATGAATCCTATTGAATATAATGATTGGACTTCTTCGAAGGACTCCATATTCCCCCACTTCTGAATGCCGCAATAGCTTTGAACGGACTATGGGTCTTGGCCATATGGGGTTGGACCGTTGAGTGTTGGACCTGACTAGAATTTGAGTACCTTGATATAGTTGATCAAGAAAAATACTACGTATAAAACTACTAAAAATATCTAGCTCCTACGCATATCTAACAGTAAATATTTGCAGGATGAGCAATTATGTACCAATCTTTTCTGATTAAGCCATACAAGGATACCTTTCCGGTTCTCATCTATAATTTTGAAATATAATGTTCTGTCTAGAACGGACGAAGTAGTAGTTATAATGAAGTTCATGCTGATTAAAAGTTTATATTATACTCCCTCCGTCCCGGAAAATTGTTCCCGCATTGACTTGGAACGGAGTTTAAGAAAGTGAGAATAAAGTGGAAATGTATGGTTGTGGTTGAGTAAGAAAAAGGTAAATGAATTGTAGCCACAAAAAACTTTCCAAAAGGGGAAAGTGGAACAATTTTTTGGGACGGCCCAAAAGGGAAACCGGGAACAATTTTCCGGGACGGAGGGAGTATTTCGCATAACAAGTTGGAACTTGAAACTGACAACTAATATCGTGACTATATGCTACTTCGAGTTTTTTTGTACTTTCTCTCATATTATAATATCTCATTTGTTAAATGTCAACATCCTTGAATTGAGTGAGTTCTGAATTTATGACCCGGCTAATCTCTGTTATTTTTTTTGGATGAAATGTAAATATATATTAACACCCAAGAAAATATACATCAAAAGGTTCAAGATCTCCTAAAGCCCATCACCCCTACCTAATGTAGGGATTAGGAGAGGTTTTTATTTGATCTAATCCAAAATCAAAATCAAAACTGGGGCCTAAGTATACAATACTAAATGCCCCAACACGTCAAAAAACAAATCGATGTTACAAGACTGCACGCACACAGATCCACAAATCCATAAAAGCCGAGGCTTCAAAGTGTCCATGTCAAAAGGTGACCAACTCATGCGGGTAGATACTAAAGAGTATCTTGTAAACCACGTGTTTGATCTTTGCTATAATGTCCTCCTCCGTCTTCTTGCCATCATCAAATCTAACTTCGTTCCTTGCATGCCAAATGTAGTAAACTGTCGCACAAAAAGCAATACGAACAGCCTTTGCCTTCATATTCGATCCTCTATGAGTCTTCGTGATCCACTTAATTGCACTTAGCAACGTTGTCATATCATGCCCGAGTCCCATCCAATTCCTTATCTGCTGCCATATCCTACACGTAAATGGGCATAGGAAAAAGAGGCGTGGTATTGTCTCCAAACCACCCTTGCATAAGTCGCACCTGTTTACAATGTGGAGATAACCAAGGCTATCCTGGGTAGGAAGTCGGTTTCTCAAGGCCAACCACACGTTAAAAGAGAGTTTTGGGGGGAGGTAGGATTTCCATATGAAACTCATAGGAGTCCTAACTTCACCCTTGACTCTTAACAATTCATAGATCTTAGCGGAGGCTAATTTTCCATTAGTGGTACGAGATTTAAGGCCTAAGATAGTATCATTCAAATTATTAAAGCAACTCCGAATCTTATCCCGAATGAGACTCAACCGCTTCATGAGCTGTGAGTCCCGGGTGTGTGGGACAAAGTCCCACACGGTCCTACACTTAAGGTAGACCTCGTTCACCCACCTCACCCAAAGGGTGTCTTTCTTCATGTGAACGTCCAAAGGGTGCGAGCGAGGAGGGCGTGATTCCACACCTTGGCATTATGAATGCCCAGACCCCCTTCCTCTTTAGGGAGACAGATGTCATCCCAGGCCACCTTGGCATACTTACCACCCCATAGAAAGATACGACAGATCGAAACAATCCTATCCAAAATAGTAATGGGAACCGGGAAGACTTGGAGCCAAAATGATTGGACCCCTTGGATCACAGACCGAATTAGCTCAAGCTTACCAGCATAGGAAATAGTCTTAGTATTCCAAGTTTTTAGAAAATCATTAACCGTCTCCAAAAGGGGAGCATATTGAGCCACAGAGACTTTAAGCGGTGCAAGCGGGACCCCAAGATATCTCACCGGGAACACCCCACGACCATAGTCCACAAGATCTAAAATATTCTGCAAGTCAAAACCATTAACCCCACCAACGAAAATATTGGACTTATCATGATTAACTCTAAGGCCAGAAACGTCCCCAAACTCTTTAAGAGCGTTGACCAAAATTCCAATGGAATGTTTGTCACCTCTTGAAAAGAGCATAAGATCATCCGCATAGGCCAAGTGAGTAATATTCAAGGAACCACAAAGAGGATGATAATTAAATCCAGAAACATTAGCTCTCATGGTCAAGAGCCGTGAGAAATATTCAAGGCACACAACAAAGAGCAGCGGGGACATTGGATCCCCTTGCCTAATGCCTCTTTTGCCCTTAAAAAAACCATGCAAAGTACCATTCAGAGAAACAGAAAAGGAAGCGGTGGAAACACACTCCATGATCCACCCAACAAACCGCTCGGGGTAGCCCAAGCCCCTCAAAACATTGGCAAGAAAGTCCCAGGAGATCGTATCGTAGGCCTTACGCAGATCCACCTTTATCATACAACGGGGTGAGATTCGCTTCCTATTGTATCCTCTAACAAGTTCCTGGGCAAGGAAAATGTTATCAAACATAAGGCGGCCATCCACAAAAGCACCTTGTGCTTTGTTGATCAAACCCGAGAGGGTAGGGGTCATTCTTGCCGCGATGATCTTTGTAATAATCTTATAAAGCACGTTAGTACAAGAAATAGGTCTAAAATCAGAGACCTTTGGGGAGTGATTAGTTTTAGGAATAAGTGCTATCACAGTATGGTTTAACTGTTTAAGCATCCTTCCCGAGTTAAAAAACTCTTTAGTCGCACGAATCACGTCCTCCCCAACCACATTCCAATTCTTCTTGAAAAAAGCCGAGGAATAACCGTCCGGCCCCGGTGCCTAATCATCCCCAATATCAAACAAAGCATCTTTAATTTCTATGTTAGTTATCGGAGAGATAAGGCCATCATGAACACTTGGTTCAATCAAAAGGCCGGTTCCTAGAACCGAATGGTCAATGGAAAGGTTCCCCATCTCGGTACCAAATAAATTCACAAAAAACTTGACAAATTCATTAGCAACATGATCAACGGATTTAGTGAGGCTGCCGTCTTCCAAAGTTAAGGAGGTTATGGCATTCCGGGACATATTACGCTTGACAATCGCATGGAAATATCTTGTTCCCTTGTCGGCTTGAAGTATATGCGTCGCTTTTGCCCTTTGTTGGAAAAAACTACATTCAGCCTCACCAAGGAATGTAGCCCTTTTCCTAGCCTCCTTAATTTGTTCTTTAAGTTCGGCATCATGTGGTGAAATAAGCAACCTCTTGTTCAGCCTTTTGAAGTCATCCTTAGCACGCTTTGCCTTAGTAGAAATATGGCCGAATTCCAACTTGTTAAGATTCTTAAGGGGCTGTTTTAGCAACTTAAGTTTCTTAACAATTTGATATTGAGCCGTACCATTAATGGAAATATTCCAATGCTGCAAAACTAGGTTAGTGAAGCCGTCATGTTGCATCCACATATTAAAAAACTTGAAAGACTTCGGCCTGAAAGAGGAATTGTTGAGTATAGATACAACGGTAGCCGTGTGATCAAACTCAACCTCCATTTCCTCGAAATGGGCCTTACAATTAATTCCCAAATGATCCCAAGTTTCATTTAACAGAACCCGGTCAAGCTTAGCCCAAAGAGAGCCCCTATTCCATGCATAGATTTCTCCCGTGGAGGGGGCATCCTCTAGGCTAGCACGGATTTTAAAATCAATTAAATCCTTCATAAGGTATGCCGAGGGTGTGGAAGAACCAACCCTCTCGTTGGGAGAACACACACAATTAAAATCACCCGCAATGAGCCAAGGGTCCGCAATTTGGTCCCCAAGTAAGGCAAGGTGTTCCCACAAAGCCTTAATCTCTGTTATAATGTTATTGAGTGAGTCATTGAGAGCTATTGCCCGTGTTTGGAATGGAGATTGTTATAATGTCAAAATGTTAGCATATACTCCGTATAATTCTATTTGAAAAATTATACGAAGTATAATGTAGCATTATACAGAGTGATAAATTATAATGTCTCTTAGAAAATTCAGAAAACTCTAAGCATTATTTTTTAAAGTAAAACTAGTCTCCATTAAATGAACTAATGATTGAAAAACCAAAACAGTCTTTAACTCAACTAACTATTACTGAGTATAAATTTTAGTCAAAACGTGACATTTTGGTTATGGAGAGCCATTTCACTATCCCAAAATGATTTGTAAAATCAACTTTTTTTACTATCCAGGATTTCACTTTATTTACTTAATGTCATTTTTTATTACTACACACATTGTAATTCGATTTTACGACTTCATTCAACTTTCAACGTTGTTTCTGATAATACCTCGTATAAAATTTTAATTATTAAAGTTGATTTAGATTATGTACATATGAATGATTTAAATTTATGCTTAGTCAACCTTAAAAACCGCACCGCAAACTAGAATTTGATCGGGAAGGAGGAAGTACGTATTTGATTTTTTTACTTACTCATGATGTTTATAATGGTCTCACATTATGGTTTTGAGTGTTTCTAGTTATACTCCACTGCCGTCTATAGTGGTGGAGCGTCTTGAACACAGATAGTTATCAAAAGGGGAAACAAATATTTATGCCATACATGCTAAAATAATAAGAAAAAAGATGATTTAAAAAAAAAATGGAACAAGGAAAAAATTCAAACTAAGAATTTAATACAAACATGAGCAGTCCGACCAACCCATGAAAGTACCACACCTTCTCACCTCCCCTTTATATCTATCTGATCATCTCCCTGCGATTTCCTTCTGATCACAATTAATACACCTTTCCTCCAAATCAACCAACACAAAACCCACAAGCTTCCATTTTCCCAAACGGCCCCTTAGAAATCTCTGCTCATCTTCCATGGGCAGGAAAACGAACCTCCTTCCTTCCATTTTCAGGAACAGGGAGCTTCAGAGCTCCTGGGAATGGCGGCTTTCTTGCTCCCAGACAAAGACTCTGTCTTTCCGGTCACCCGCCGCCGTATCCCTCGACACCTCCGACGGGGTTACCACGCCGGAGTCTCTCTTCACTGAAACCTCCGGCTCCACAAGCTTCTTGACTGATCACTCAGAGGAAATGATCATAAGGGAAGTGATGAGATCATCAGACAGGCTGTTCTTTGAGCCTGGAGAATGCACAAGCTCCTCAATCATGGAGGACCCAAGGGAGAAAATGGTCAATGGAGAGAGTGAAGAAGAGAACCCTTTCAAGGAGAGTGTGGTTGTGGTCATGGACACTGAAGATCCATACAGAGACTTCAAGAGGTCCATGCAGGAAATGATTGAGAGCTATGGTGGGGTCCATGACTGGGAATGGCTTCAAGAGCTTCTTGGATGGTATTTGAAGATGAATGGGGATGGGAGTCATGGGTTTATAGTTAGGGCTTTTGTGGATTTGCTTATTGAACTCTCTTCCACTAGTACCAAGTCTTCTTATTCTTTGTGTACTTCATATTCTTCTGCTGTTTCTTGTTTATCTCCCCCTCCTTCTACCTTTTCTTCTCTAGGTCTCAAGGAGGTTTGAGGAAGGGCTAGCAATGATGAAGATACACTAGAATTAGTTTCTACATAGTATGATTTTTCACTTTTTCGCCTTTCATATACTTCCCCTAGTCCCCCAATTAAAGTCAAATTTCTTAAACTTTTGAGTCAAATTTCTTAAACTTTGAGTATTAGTTATTCAAAATTAACATTACTTTATCACACAAAATTAATTTTATATACTTCATTCTTATATGTATTATTCAAATGGTAATTTATTCTAGATTATACACATAATATATTTATCGATAATTGCGACCAAACGTTCGCCTAGAAGATCCTAAAGTCAAATTAGGACTTTAATTGGGGGACAGAAAGAGTATATATGAGATATTGTTTAAGCGTAGAGTGAAAATATTTATATCCATATATCGGGATGGAGTAATGCAAAATGTTATAAAGCTTATACCAAGTACATAAAATTTTTTAAATATATTATTGTGTCTCAGTATTTAAACAAGTATTACGGAGTACTATTTATATTCTACTAACATTGAGACATGATGAGATGATACAGTTATTAGGAAAAAATGTGAGTTTGTGATTGATATTGAATTGATAAAATAAAAATAAGGTAATAATGATTTAGAACCACACAAACTTTAACAAATTATATATGAGACAATCTTAATAGAACGAATCGAAAAGAAATATGGGACAATCGGGACAGAGAGGGTAATATTTAGAATCAACATATTTAAAAGGTAGGTACGTTTAAAGTTGTAATGAATCTCAATTGACAATGATAAAAAAATCAAAACTCAAAGGGACAGAAAGGGAATGGGCAAGTAAAGTAGTAAACCTCATAAATTTTACCTCTCCCATAATATGTACGTTGTTATGCATTACTAAAAAATACTGTGCCTAATGGCTGAAGGCCATTGCATCACCACGGGCCTACCACTCGAGTTGTGAGGTTCACCCATCAAATGATTTAAGCTCAACATCATTCAATGTTGTATTAGTACAAATTATTCATAGTGAAATTCAATGTTCCATACCAAAAGTGTGGTCTACATCTTCTTTGCATGGTTTAGATGGTTTTACACATAGTATGGTAGTATGATATGTTAATGTTATCCACACAATTTTCCTTTATGTACTTGTAATCTTTTATAACCCCTTGCTTCAAATTTCTCTTTCTCTTCCTTTTTTGTTCATATAGAAAAGTTTTTCTATCTTTCAATTGTAAAAAAGTACGAGTATTACCTTAAGCTCTAGTTTCTCTTACATACTTATTTCCCTTTCAAGGACTTTATACTTGTTGTGTTATACATTTTTCAAATATTACACAAAATCCAACGATGATTAACAAAGCTAAATTTCGCAACCTTGCATAGTTTGTTCTTGATCAATGTGATTCAATGAGTGAAACTTTACCGTATTTTTTGAACAAAAAATTAGATTATTATGATATAATGTGATTCTATCGTTTATCAGTTGTCACCCCAAGTAAGACAACATTGTTTGAAGAGGCGTAGCTCACCTGGTAGGAAGAGGGTGTCACAAGGGAGATGTTCCGGGTTCAATTTCAAGTAATGACTTGAGATGAAACTTCACTCTCTTTCCATCAGGGTGATCAAAACTCAACTTACATTCTCTCAGATAACTGTCTAGTCGATTATGGGGGACAATCATGGATAGAGTGTCATCCTTTTTAGAGTTTGTCCCTTCCATTATATTACACCAAATCAACGCTTAATTGCAATTACCATTTTAAAAATTAAAAAAATGAGTGGGCACCAGCCTCATAAAAATGGGACACAAGAACAACAAGGCAAGGAAGCCGATGATGAAAGTTGAACCAAATGTGCTAGGCCACATGGGATCAAGAAAGCATCAGAGTGGCCTTACTCTATCCTTTCATATGAAAACATCATCATAACAGTATAAGGACTAGTTGTAACTTACTCAATCCACATGCATTGAGAAATGGTCAGTGTTAACTAATACCACGATCTGGCATTCATTTCCCCTGTTACATCACTATCCTTATTTTTTAGTAGCCAAGATACATCTATATTTGCTTTGTGCATGCACATGTTCTTCATTGATCAGTACAACCTGGTTATAACAACTAAGGAGGCCTTCAATTTAACACAACTTTTGGTTGCTAGAATACTACCTTAACACAATGCTTCACCCTCTACATGAGTGGATGCAATCATCTACTACATTTTTGAGTACTAATATTACAATATTTATATTGACGCCACATGTATTTACTAAGTCAAATACACGTGACGACAATCCAATGATGGTTGGAATGTACAAACAAATCATGATAAATCATCTAGAATACAATTTTGGAATAAAAGATCTTATCTATATTAGAGATAAGCACTAGTTCTGAGTAGCACGTGCTTCGCCTCTTGGAAATGTCGCTAAACAAATGTTAGCGAGAAAATGTCTCATTAGAGTCATGCTTAAAGAATTCTAGTGTTCAGATAAATAGATAATGCGACGGAGCCGTCATATCAGAGATTTGCAGCAAGATTAACCCAAGCAAGCGTGATGACCAAAAAACATGTCTCTACTATGCACAACAAATCAAAAGAGGTTGAGATGAAATTTAGCCCATGAAAGTGTAGGAGTAGATCCGGTCAGTTCAAGCAATACGTTGATAAGAAAGTGCAATTGATAATTCACATCACTGAATGCAACTATGCATGAAATATATCACTGTTATACTTTTTGCATTGCACTCAACAATAGAAGGATTCTACATTTTATGTGCCATTTATACCAAGCCTCCCAGTAGATGGCGCATACAAAAATTTCTGCATCACCTTTTATTATTTGTTCCATATTCATTTTGACGAAATTTTTATGCTTGCTCCACCTTCTAGATTGGCAAGTTCTATCATATCAAAATACATAAACTCTGACTTTTTACTTCTCATTCTTACTTTTCTACTTTTACATCTTATTTCTCCTGCTATCCACTACTACGATTTTATTTTAGTGTACCAATTAAAACAATAATAACCCACTAAAGAAAACAATAATAGCCCGCTAGAGAAAACAATAAAAACGGGAGAGTTGGTTAATCAATCTGTAAAACTTTACAATGGGGCTATGTCAATTCGTGTTCTAAAAAGCCTTATGCACTAGAGAAAGACCCCCCCCCCCCCCAGAGAAATGTGGTTGAGAGAAAGAGATGGAAAATGTGAACTGTGGGCATGAAAGATATTTAATGTAAGAGAAGAAAAGAAAATGGAGAGAAAAAAATGGTGAGTCCCAACCATGCGAGGAAGAATATTGCAAAATGAAATCAGGGTCAGCAATACTCAATGCTATTGATCAAGATATGGCGCTGTCAATGTTTACTAAATCACAGCCGTTGGTCACAACCAAATGAACGGTTGAGATCACAGTTGACAAGTATGACTGTATGAGGTGGCAATGCTAAGGTGTAGGACACTAGGACAGTAGGTCTGTAGGACCTGCACTAGAAATCTGGAAAAGTGATTGAAAACTTGCATGTATAAGAAACTTGCCATACTGATAACTCCTTTAGAATGCTAATCTTTTACCCACAGTGATTTTTTAAGAAGCATATGACCATTTCAAAGTTTAATTACCACTGCATGTACATGAACCATACAAGATTACAAATGCTAAGAAGGTGTTTTGTGAAGAATATGAAGACAATTCATTCTCATAATCTCATCTCTCCTTAGCAGTCCTAGAGAATGACCCAATATGTTTTTCAACATTAGGCCTCATCATTTTTCCTCAATTTTCTCCACAGTTATGCCAGTCTTATATTTATTCTTCTTTGGTGAAGTTAGGTTCACAAAATGGAAGTGTAACTACGCAATAGGATTATCTCTTCATCTCTTGGAAGCACAAGATCAGATTAGTCATTAGGCTACAGAGGATAAGATAAGATCAGTCAAAGAAAATTACCACAAGACAATACACCCCTCACATTACCTCACTTACCTACACTGATTTAACTTCAAATTATTAACTGGTATCGAACCAGGTAATCTCGTAACTTCTCTTACTGTATCATGGTAACGTGAAATTACATGAACCAAATGCCACCTTAAGACAAACATTTGTGTACAAGTAATATTAGATTTCTGCATCCATTTAGGGCAAAACAAGACTCAAATTCATGTCTCCTCCACATAATGAAGTACAAACTATGACAGAATAGAACGTCATAAAGCCATACGCAGCAGTATATAGTCAAATAAATGCCTAACGAGCTGTAAAACAAAAAAGAGAGGATAAATAGCACACAAGTTGTCTTCAGTCATCCTGACTCGCCTAATTGCTTGTCTTAGGAGTTGGGAATGATAAAGAAAAATACAACACAGAAGAGCGAAATACACTCACTGTTTGATTCTTATGACCAAAGGCCAGAAATATCTCATTGTGAATCTTCTGTAGTAAAAGAACTTAATCAGAATCCTCAAACATTTCTCCTTCATCAGATGGCTCATCAAAGTCGCGCATGTCAAGCTGGTACCTAAGGATTCCTCCAATCCCACCAAACCCTCTACAAAACTGAGACCCCTCTTGAGACTTGTTTGTAACGAACTCAAGAGAACAACCGAAATTCTTATACTCATTGGCAAACCACTCCAAAAGTGGCATTTTGTCTTGGACCTCCAGCTCAGCATTTGTAGCAGCATCCTTGAAGTTGCTATGGTCGGCCTCTTGCTCCTTGTTCATGTGTTTAACAACAATCTCGTTAGTCGTACTGTTTTTCATCACAAAACGGTTAATATCAAGATTCTCCCAAACAATAAGCGTCTCAACAGCTCCCATTTCTAGGGCTTTTATCGTGTCTTCCACCCCAAACACGTACTTACCAGTGTCTTGACTAATTTCCTCAAAGAACTTCCCAATCAGTTTCTTTTCCTGTATGAACTTCACGTTTGACAGAATCTCAGCAGACAACTCTATTGCCTGGTTGAACCCATTCTCCCCACCATAAGACACATCAGCCACATTAAGGATCTTGGATTGTAACCGGCCGTCAAACATGTCTGATTGGCTTAGCTCGGTCTTGAAATCTGCAGACCCTGCAAGAATCAACCCGGCCACGTTTGGCGCGTTACTTGCTGGGTTTATAAATAATTGTGTGGCAAGTTCTGCAGCCTTCCTGACGTAATTGTGCCGTTTCTCCATCCTAAGACGGGCGAACCGGAGAGCCGATTGCCCTCCCCTTCCGTGCTTTTTTGGGAGATCCACAGTGAACTTGTGAAGAACTTCTCTTGTGTTCCCACTTAGGGTCCCGAATAGGGTCCCATTCCCATCCATGACGATGAAACCAAACTTCTCATCAGATTCCAAGAGTTCGCCAAGTGGTTCGGTGTGGAATTTGTTGTCACACAGGTATAAGGAAGCATTTATGGGCTTAAAAGGTGCAAAGTCAAAGGTGACCTTCTTTTCTTTGCCATCATCTGTCACAATGGTTCCCGTGTAGAGGACCAGCCCGTTTGGGGGAACTTTGTTGTAAAGTTTGAGTCTTTGTTGGGCTGACGTTATGGCACCGAGGACGGATTGACGATTAACTCTGCTTTTTATGTTTGATGCGGTTCCATACTCTTCTGCCAACATCTTGGTGATTCGGGATATTTGATCACCCGGTGGTATGA